ATAATCAAATGAAAGGAATCTCAATGTTGAATATCATAGTAAGATTAAAGTGTTAAATACACGTTGGTAATATGGACGTAATATGTGTATGTCTAATTTCCTTTAATTATGGACGTAATATGTGTATGTTTTTTTCCCTTTATTACCCACCGTAATATGTGTATGTTTAACTTCCTATATAGACAAAAAAACTTATCGTTAATTCCAATAAAAATGAGTCGATTCCCTTAAAAATGAGATCGTTTATTATGATTACTATATGGTAATTGAGGACTATATATGATTCTTAATTAATATTATGCTAATTATTACGTCCATGTAATCTGAATAATTATGGTACTTAAGAAGTATATATTATTCTTAATAAAATAGTATGTGTATATATAATTTCATTTAATTATGGACGCAATATGCGTATAGTATGTTTAATTATCTTTTAAATATGTTTGTAATATGTAATATGTGTATGTTTAATTTAATTTAATTATGTCCTTAATATTGTACCATTAATTCCATTAATTGATTAGATAAAATCTATACTACGGAAAGTATAAAAAAACAATCTAGTGAAAGTATAATATGTGAATGAATTTATTAATTACCATAACTATTAAGATTTTGTTCAAAAGTAACCATTATCATAATTTTTTTTTAATCTCCTTTAATGATGAACCTAATGTGTATTATCAATCTGATTAGATAAAATTTATATTAAGGAGAGTATTAATTCCTTAATTGTCAAAAATTTTAAGATTTTTATTCAAAAGTAACCAAAGGAAGTGCACGGGTAATTGATATTATTTGATATAAAAAAAAATAAAATCGTTGTAACAAGAAATTTCTATGTTTAATTACCATAATCAATTTCGAAGTTAAATACGCTTAATAATTACCATGGGTTATTTAGATGATAAATAGTATATGGTAATTACCTATATAGGTTACCATAATAAAAGAATTAACATATGGGGCGATATGATGCCTTTTAGGTAAGATATATTATAAAAAGTATCCATTAATTAAAATATGATAGAGAAATTATATTAGGAAATTAATTAGCTAAAAACGAATCTAAAGTCATAAGAAACGCGGTGACTGTGAACGACTCCCTTCAGCGCTGACGTCATCTCAGAAGCCGAAAGTTTAATTCAGGACGATCGAATCCAGTTCACTTCTCAGTCGAATCCAATTGAACCCTTGAAAAATCAATGCCTGCATTATCATAGTTTGTTAGTGAAGATTGAATTGTTATAGTTTGGTGGTATCCATGAAAGGGAAGGAGCATAAAGATCAAGAATGAATCAACTCCAGAATAAACCCCATTCTCATTAAGCATTGAATCAAACATATATACATCACAAGGATAACATTTACAGTATAATGATATCATAAATGGGGAAGATCATGAGTTTGTGGGAGATAATGGCCATAAAACAATAATATTTATAACACTCCCCATTGGATATTATTCGTCTACAATCTTGCTTTCATACAAACCTCCTAGGAAAACCCTTTTGGAAAAACCTAGACAAGAAAAGAGTATAATAAAAAATATATCCATGCCTCATTAAAAACTTCACTAGGAAAACCACGTGGGAAAAAACCTAGTTGAAGAAAAGAGTACATGATATATGTAAAAACATATATTGTATTGGTCGCCTCATTAAAAACCTTAACTTAAGAAAACCCTATGGGAAAAACTTAGTTAAGGGAAAAAGAGTACAACCATAAGCCTTCAGGGCACAAACTGCATAATCTTCAGGATTTTGGGATTTGTCTATTTAAGCAATTATTTTGCAACTTTTTCCCATTGTCATTACTATATCATACTCATGCCTCGTTAAAAACCACACTAGAAAACCCAATGAGAGAAAACTAGTGAGGAAAAGAGTACATGATATTTATGTATTTATGTGTTGCAAATAGTGCGTACTTCCCGTTGTGTTGCAAATAGTGCGCAACTGTTAGTCTTTTATGACTTAATCTTCAGGATTTTACGTTTAATCTTCCGGATTGATTCAAGTAAATGTACATCTCATCTCCCCCTGAAGATAACAATCTCCAAGTTCTACATATATTTCAAAATTTGAAGAGATGGATTGGACAAATCTTCTGGATTGTGACTAGAGTAGTGTACAATAATCTTATGGCTCTTCTAGAGCTTATATAACATTTGTGCAACACAAGTGTTATTGTCCTCATTTTGAACATTTAGGGAAATTCATTGTATAACCAGTTTGGACTTGGCATTGCGGGGATCAAACAAAACAGCCAGTACCCAAGTAGCCTATTAAAACCGTATCATGGTTTCTTACTTAAATGTCATGTCTTTGTATCTCGAAGATACCGGAGGATATTTTAATCATTATTCAAGTACTTCATTTGTAGGGGGAGCATTAAATTTTGCTAGCAATTTCATCGCAAATATGTTGCGATTATGGAACTTCTAGTTCTAAAAATGATGCTCCAACGATAATGAAGTAAGGGACTTCAAGTCCAAATGGTTCCTTATCTGCTTCAAGAGATTATTAGGCAACCTTTGGTTTGATAAAAACATGACACTTATATGCATATAGACATGTGAAAAAGCATTTTTAGATGTAGGCTGACTGGTGTATATAAAAAAAATCTTCAAAGAAAAACTTGATCTTCAAGTCGAGATAATACTTATAGCATTCACAAGCTTTTTATTTCAAAAGTCTCAGTCTTTAAACATGAACTGACAGTATCAAGCTCTTTATATACTTCATTGATTTTACACCATCAATCTTGACTGAGATAATAAATAACAAATAAGTTCATTATCAACCCTTTATCGAGCACACAATGGTACATATTATTCCTTCAATGAGGATATTAACTCCATTTGCAACCCTTTAAAGAGTAAATAATGACACATAATAATACTTAAATAAATCCTCATTTCGAGAATTATGAATCAGGAGAGATTTTCTATGTCGTGGATCAGGTAATTATACTTTCAGTTAAGAGTAAATACCAACGGAGGTCCTCTGACTTTGGTGGCACCGCCACTTTTAGTCCTTAACTTTTAAATCAATCACTCTTAGTCTTCTTACTTTTTGTTTCTAGCCATCTATGCTCTTTCCGTTAAACTTGACCATCTAATGCCGTTTTCTCAAGAATAATTCAGTCCTTTCATAATTAATTTATTAATTATTGTGTTTGCTAAGTCATAGCGAGATATCCCGATGTCGTTTTGGCACAACCTTCATACCAGCTTTTGTACGTCATTTTGATTCACGAGCTGGTTTAGTACACGTTCATAGTTGAGGAAACCATTGTTTGACTATTCTGATGAGGAAATTAAACATAATAATTAATAAATTAATTATGAAAGGACTTAATTATCTTTTAGAAAACAGCATTAGATGGTCAAGTTTAACGAAAGGACCATAGATGGCTAGAAACAAAAGTAAGAGGACTAAAAGTGGTTGATTTAAAAGTTGAGGATTAAAATTGACAGTGCCACCAAAGTCAGAGGAACTCCGCCGATATTTACTCTTTCAGTCAATTATGCTCCGCCAATCTGTATGCGATGAGTTCGACTATTCAGTTCAGAAAATGATAGAGCATTTAGTTCAATTGTGAATTTGTGATGCACACTAGGATGCTGAATATTGAGCTCAAGCTTAAGAGCATTCCATACAAACCTGATTGCACCATTGCCTAAGGCGAGGTGGCTCCTGTTATAATGTGCAATGCTTTGTGAATACTATTGAGTTACTCATATTAGAAATTATTTAGTACTAGGCTATTCATATTTTGTGATTTAATCCAATATCTTCTGGCTTCAACCTACTATTTCTTAACACTTTTGGGATTGCTTATACCAAATACGCAATTTATCTTAGATTCTTAGCCATAGGTAAAAAGTAAGCTACAATATATTTCCTTTTTTAGCAAATTGCAATAAAAACTTATTTTAGTAATAATTTATGCAAACAAGTTATTGAAATTTGAAATGGCTTAATAGAAACCGAAGCTATTAGCCCAAGTTGTTCCTCCTAGTTCTATTTGGGTTATGAATTGTAGTGATTTCAAATTAGCTTGTTCTTTTTTTTAGATATATATAATTATGAGTAATAGTTTGTGAAGAAGGAAAATTATATCATTGGCCACAGATCATTAAGCTTGTTGAGCACTTGTTTTTTTAGTGAATGCTCATCATTGTAATGTTCAATGTTGTTGAAGTAAATCTCTATAGAAATGCCAATTGTGAGCCATGGCTTTCCTAGTATGCCAAGTTATATGTCCCCTGGGGTTCTTGTACAGCAATGGAGTTTGGACAGTTTCTTGTTGGAATTTGATGAGCTATGGAGCATCACATTAAGGAAGAAAGAAATATTCTGGTCGATTGAAAGCTCCAAAGTTTTACAGAGACCAGCATAGTGTTTTTGTTACATAAAAAAAAAAAAGGAAAAATAAAGCTTTTAAACTAAACTGTTGGGAAAGGCAGTTATAACTAACTGATGCTAAAGGACACAAATGCCCTTAAAGCTATGAGAGAACTCAAGTTGTTCTGCTGTGTGCATCCGCTATGCTCATCACATCCCCCCCCCCCCCACCCCCCTGGTAAGATGGATCATGAAGATACTGAAGGCCAAGCTTAGCATGAAAAATATCAAAACCTTAGTGAATCCATCTGCTAGTTGTGTATTTGAAGGAATGCTCACTAGTTTCACCACTCCTTCTTGCACCTTTTGCCTCACTACATGGCAATCAATGTCAGTGTGCATAGTACGTTCATGGAACACATAATTTTCCCCTATAGCCACAGCTGAGTTGTTATCACAAAATAGAGCAATGGGATTTTTGTTTTCTGTTTTCAAATCTGCCAACAAGTAGAACGGCCACTGAAGCTCACAGACAGTGGAAGCCAAAGCCCTATATTTTGCTTCAGATGAGGAACTGGACATAGTGGCTTACTTCATAGTCTTCCAAGATATAAGGGACTCCCCAAGGTAAATACAATAGCCTATAATGGACTTCCTAGTTTAAGGCTGGATTTTGAGGAATAGAAGAGTCATTTTCTAGTAGAACCTTTGAGATATCTCAGTATTCTATGTGCTGCTGCTAAATGTGAGTCTCTTGGCTTATTAATTAACAAACTGGCTGAGCTGCTGAACACTGTAAGAAATGCCAGGCTTTGTGTTGGTCAAATAGAGTAGCTTCCCAACTAACCTTCTAAAGATTTCAGGATTGTCTAGTAGTGTGCCTTCAGTATTGTTGAGTCTTGAGCCTGGAGTGCAGGGAGTTTTAGCAGGTTTAGCATATAAGAAACCATTTTCCTTTAAGATTTACAAAGTATACTTCCTTTGATAGAGACTAATGCCATTAGGATTCCTGAATGCTTTAATTCCCAGAAAATAATTCAGGTTGCCAATATCTTTAATTTTGAAGGATGTATCTAGCATAAGCTTTAATCCTTTGATCTGATCAGGATCTGTACCTGCCACCAATATATCATCAACATACACAAGTAATTCAACAAAAGAACTGTCTGAAGTTTTGGTGAACAAAGATGGATCAGCTATGGACTGTTGAAAACCATGGGCTTGCAAAGCTTTTGTTAACTTTACATTCCATTGCCTGCTAGCCTGTTTTAAACCATATAGGGATCTTAACAGTTTACACACTTGATTGGGCCTATCACTTTTAAAACCTGGGGCAAGACCATATAAACTTCATTATTCAAGTCACCATGTAGAAAGGCGTTTTTGATGTCAAGCTGCTGAATATCCCAGCCCTTTGCAATAGCCACATCTAGGAAGGTTTTAATGGTTATCGTTCTTGCTACAGGAGAAAAAGTGTCAATGTAATCAACTCCTGACTGTTGAGTGTATCCCTTAGCAACTAACCTGGCTTTATATCTTTCTATGGTTCCATCTGCCTTATGCTTTACTTTGTATACCCATCTGCAACCAATAGGTGATTTTCCCTTAGGGGGATCTATTAGAGCCCATGTGTTGTTCTGAATCAAGGCATCAATTTCAGATTGCATGGCCTCTTTCAACTCATTATGTTGTACTGCTTCATGATAAGATTGTGGTTCATGTGTTGAAGCAATAGATGAAACATAAGACTTTTTGTTAGGGGGCAAGTTCTCACAGGAAATGAAATTCTCTTTGGGATGAGGAGAGGATCTCAAAGTGGATTATTTCCCACCATGGAATGGCAATAGTAGTCACTCAGTTTAGAAGGAATAGCTCTTGTCCTTACTGACATTCTAGGTTCTGGTTGACTATCATGTTGTTGTGGAACATTGATGTCTATGTGAAGGGCATTTGCCATGTTACTGTATGGTTCATCTCTATCAGTGGCTACCTGATTAATTGGCTCAGCATTATAGTCAAAATTTCTGTCACGACAATTCTCATTCTCATCTGTTCTTCTGTTAATGGCATCTGTCATAACTCTAGTATTTTCATTTCTTCTCATGGTCTGCCAGGAAGTTGTCTCTGCATCAGCAGAAATAGGAATCATGGGAAGGGATGGATTGAGCTCATCATTATCACAAAAGTAGTTTTATCATCAAGATCATTTAAGATAAAACCTTTCACATTGGCTGGAAATCCCAGAAAAACACATTTCCTTGCTCTTGATTGCATTTTATTTCTTCACTGTGAAACAGTGGTACCAAAACTCAAACAGCCAAAAATTCTGAGTTGGCCATAATCTATATTTTTCCCTGTTAACAGCTTGAAAGGAGTATTTCCATTAAGAACCTCAATGGGCAGCCTGTTAATAAGATAAGAGACATGTAGAACACAATGGTCCCAGAATTCCATAGGCAAACCAGATAGAAATCTCAAAGCCCTAAGCCACATTTAGAATATGTTGATGCTTCCTTTCAGCTACCCCATTTTGCTGGGGTGTGTAAACACAGGATTTCTGATGGACAATTCCCTTCTCATTATAAAAGGAATGCATAGGAACTCAGTTCCATTATTAGTTCTCACAGTTTTGATCTTAGCAGAAAATTGAGTGCACACAAAATTGTAGAAATTCTAGAAGATAGACTTAACTTCTTACTTACTTTTCATCATATGAAACCAAGTAAATCAACTGTGATTATCAACAATTGTTAGGAAATAATGTTCACCTTGAAGAGATGCCACAGCAAAGGGCCCCATACATCCATATGTATTAGCTCAAAACAATGATCAGTTCTGGAAATGCTAACTAGGAATGTGGACCTTTTGTGTTTAGCAAAATGACAGGCATCACATACAAAATCACAAAGTTTCTTATTAGAATCAATCTTTATTCCATTCAACATAGGAATTTTATTGCTAGGATAGTGTCCTAATCTATTGTGCCAAAGTTCCATAGTGAAACTGTTACATTGAACATTATTCTCAGTCATTGACTGCTTCTTCTTGGCAGGAGGATCAGTAATTAGGTATAGACCATTCCTCTCACTAGAAAAACCAACCATTGTTCCAAGATGTCCCTGGACAATTCAAGAATCAGCTTCTATCACAAGTTTGCATCCTGACTGCTTGGTTAATTTGCTAGCAGAAATAATATTGAAGGCAAAGGATTAAATATACAACACATTTGTCAACAATATGTCCTTGTCAAGCCTGATTTTCCCTTTGTGTGTTACATTTACAGTTTCACCATTTGGTAATTTAACAGATAATCCCTGAACCTCAGAACATTTTTCAAAATAGTCCAATGAACAAGTTATATGGTCTATTGCCCCTGAGTCCAGTATCCATGCTATATGTGAATTGTGAACAATATTAACAAGGATGTCAGGATTAAAAATACCTTCATCATGCACTTCTGCAGAGCTTTTGAAGTCTAATCTGATCCCAGGGGTGGTGACTGTCACAGCTACACTACTTGAGCCTTGATTTCCATGGCTCTGGTTCTGCAAAAGAGATAACAGTTTTTGGAATTGATCAGTAGACATACAAATGTCATTTATTTGGCTCACAGAAGCATTTGATGTCTGATGTGTTTCTTGGAATGTTTGTTTTTGGATTTGTAGCCTGCAACCCATCCCGTAAGGTATTCATGCTTCTTGTAGAATTTCTCAATTGTGTGACAAAGCATGCCACAAAATGTGCATTTAGGCACATTCTTGCCTCCATTATTAGTGAATTTCCTTCTATTGTTTGATGCTATGACTGCCACAACAGATTCTTCAGATTCAGCATGATTCTGATTGTTGAAAACTGCATTGGACTGATTAATTTCATTGCATTTAAACATCATTGATCCACTCCTTCTTTCAAGCTTCAGGGCCATATTCAACACCTTTTCCATATCTGGAATGGGGTCCATAACCAGAATTCCAGACTTGATAGTCTCATAGTCTTCATTCAAGCCTTCCAAAAACCTGATTATGTAATCTTCTTCCCTCTGCTTTTGCATTCTACTCATGAGAGTGCACGAACATCTAGGTATACAGTCACACATGAGTAAAGATATTAAAACATTCATTTGTTTCCATAGAACATTGTTGTAACACCACTAAAATTTAAAACTTTGAATACTTATGAAATAAAGGCAATAATATCATTAATCCCGAAACAGAGCATTACTAAACATAAGTGTTTGGGGTGTTATGCCACATCTGAGCTGGAGAACTCAGATGCACAGGCTACACTATCTAAATATCCTCAAAACAGTGTCATTACATCATCATGGCATGCAGGCCGATAAGGAAACTAACTATCTAAGGCTCGGGTCCTCTAGCGCGCTACGGAGCTACTCATCTGTGCCTGAAAGCCAAATATATATGTTCAACGAATAATGCTGGTAACCCACTCCAACGCGTTAAAATACAATATAGGTAGATATATATATATATATATATATATATATATATATATATATATATATATATATATATATATATATATATATATATATATATATATATATATATATATATATATATATATATATGATAACCATTTTGAAGCCGGAAGATATATATACTTAGGAGACTAATTTAAAACCGAGAATAAACTCAACAAGTAAGGGTAGGCACATTCATCAGTTATAATCACGCATATAAGATACTAGCATGCTCCCTAAGGTCACAAGATTATACCACATCAAACATATCAGTATTCAATCATTATCTCAACACACAAGCACACTTTGGTGGTGCCGCAGGACCAATCGCATGCCCATACATGAGGGTCAGCGCATATAGCGTTAACACGGCCCCGAAGCACCCTGCCTTGTACCGCAGCACGAAGGGGTTGATTGCAACCAACCGATGAACCGCAGCTCATTTATAATGTTTGATCGCAACCAAATGGTGGACCACAGCCCGAATAGTGTGTATTTCTGATCGCAACCAGATTATGAACCGCAACTCATTTATAACGTTTGATCGCAACCAAATGGTGGACCGCAATCCTATATGTATTTATATACCTGACCGATCGCAACCGGCCTGGTTAACAGCCGATGGTTCTCAGCCCATCCAACTGCCCGTATAGCAAATTGATCGCAACCAATTGGGGTATCATGCACACATAACACATAGCAATCACATGCAACCCACATTAGCACAAAGGGAGGGGGAAAACGTGTATATAAAACTTATGCGTGGTCAACCAAATACTAAGAATATTCCTAAGGGGTTCATACATCTTTCACCTAGGCTAACGGGTTACCAATTCAACTAGCATGCAATACATAAGACTCTTTTATCCTACGAACGGTACCCGATACATCAAACTAGACTTAGGCATGACAAACGGGGTCCAATGGGACACCACGGAACACGGGAAAACATCAAACGTGGAAAACCACAAAGTCCACACTGGGAAAACCAGCGAGCCCTCCACTCGCCGGCGGCACGCATAAGGCAGCGAGTGCCCGGCAGGCAGTCGCCTGCCCGCTGCCGGCGGCCCCATTTGGGGCAGCGGGAAGGTGGCGTGTTCCCCTACCCCCAGTTACCCCCCACTGACTCTTTCGTAATAAATTGGTCCTGGGATCTTTTGTGAAACCCGAAACCATGTCCAGACACATTTAAACATAAACGACAACACCACGTAATCAAGTAATGGGTTAAAACCAAAAATCACATTAAATACATCACCCAAATATACCAAGAACATCGCAATACGAAATCCACGATTTAACCTAGGGCTCTAATCATATTTAAAGCACAAGATCATAACTTTTCTTTAAAATCAAGAACATCAAGATTATCAAGATCAAAACACAATTATCAAGATCCTCTCATAATCATCAAGATTATGAAGATCAATGTGACACCCCGAAATCCAAATTCGGTTAAGGGATTAATTAAGTAATTAATCCTATTTCAATTTGTAATTTAATTCCTTAAATTCCTGAAATTCAATAGTCGGGGACTAGTAATTGACTAGTAAACCCCATAGTCAAAGTTGTACCTTGAGCTTTGTAAGGAGTTCCCTTGTTCCTTACACCTTTCCATGTTAGTAAGGGTATACTTGACCTTTCACCTTGTGTTAGTATTGTAACCTAACCTAGTAAGAACATCTTCATTTCTATCCTTACACTTTCCAAAATCCTAGCTCCACCGTCTCTCTAAAAAGGTGGGTAGCTTTTCTTCCAAGCCAAGTTGAAGCTCTGTCAAGACTTCAAGAGTTGTCTCCAAGATTCTATCTTTCATACATTTGGGCATATAGGAGGGTAAGATCCATGTTCATCTTGTGTTTTTATTATTTTCTTAGGTGTCTTTTCTTAAAGATAAAATCTTTATGATCTTTTGGTATGTTCTTGAAGTGGGTTTGGAAGGTGAGCTTTGATAGGAGCTTGGTGTGGTGTTAAGTGGAAGGTTTTTGGTCTACAAGAGGTAACCCATGCTCTACAAAATCTATTTTGCTTACCTATATGAATATTTCTTAGATTCTACATGTGTTTTGCTATGAAATGTGAGTGTTTATGCATTGTCTTGTGAAAATGCATATCTAGAGCTTGTGTTTAGGGTTCTTGTATGCCACTTCTTGGCTATTCCTTTGATTCAAGTCATTTTGTTGTGTTTGGTGAGATTTGACATGTTTTGGACTTGAAATAGAGCTTGGTGTTGAAAATCCCCGAAGGGATTATTTTTGTACAAGTGGTGTACCCGCGGGCGGAACGGCGAGCAATGGCCTACCCGCCGCCCCACCCGCGGGGAACGTGGTTTGGTGGATGTGTACCCGCGGGAGGAACCACGGGTGGGGGTCCACCCGTGGGCCCACCTATGGGGTACATATGTTGGTTGTGCGGGGATTTGTTCCCCGTGATTCTTTTGACTCGGTATTTGGTCTTTTGACTTCCCGATGTTCTTTTGTGGAACTATTTGAGCGTCTTCTTGATGTTTCATATGTCTAGAATTATATGGTAAGAATCCATGTAGGTTTTGGTGTCTTGAATCATGCTAAGTGTTCAACATTGTGATTTGTTGAACCGTGATGAGTCTTGTGTGTTCTTCGGAACTACGTTTGGTTTACCCGTTTGATAAGCATGCTAGTTCGGTGTTTAAATGCTAGCGTGTGTGTTGTTTGTACCTTCTTATTGGTTGATGATAACTTGTGTTATTCATCATTGTTGTTGTTGGACTGTAACCCATTCCTTGATTGAGTATGGTTTCATATCTTCGTTGTGATCCGTTGATTGATTCTTGTTGTGGTGTGATGCGTGTGTGGCTTTACCAGGATTGCACAATTAGTGGTATGGGACACTAGTCACCAAGGTATTGCAGTGGTCCTCATGGTGGCCATGACGTAATTATGGAGTTGTGACCTGTGTATCAGGTTCACGTATTTTGGGAGAGGCATGTGTTGCCGTGTGTGTGAACGGTACCCTCGTGTACTATGAAATCGGTGGTTTTGTTGGCGATCATTGGCGGATGGGGACGACGGTCCTTGGAGGGAAAAGGTTGGACTTGGTGTACAGGGGTCCTGGAGGTAATGGTTGGAAGAAGATATAAGGTTATGGGTAACCATAAGGTTGGAACCGGGCATAAGGAAAGCATATCAACTCGTGATGGGTGATATCACGAGGGCTTGTGTAGCTGTTGTTGTGAGTTCTCTTTTTGTGACGTGTGTAGTCACAAAGGCATGTGTTGCCTTGGCATGTGTTGCCGTTTGTTGTGTCTTATTCCTTTGAGTTATGCATGTCGGGTACTAATCTATTGTGTGATGATAGATTATACCTTGAGACTTCTTGTGAGTCGTTGTTGTTCTTTGTAGTCTTGGGATGTTCCCGTGTTCTTGTTGAGAGTGTTTGAGTCTTGTCTTGACTATTACTCTTGGTTTTGGACTTACAACTTTTATCTTATCTATGTATGATATTTCACATGTATTGGTGGGTTACCAGCATTATTCGCTGACCGGGCGTCGTCCCATGTTTTATATGCTTCTTTCAGGTGATGCTTAGACGAGTGCGCGGTCTAGTGCCAACTAGTATAGCTCCCCTTTTATGTTTTGTGGCCTGTGAGCCAATCTAGACTTAGTACTCTGTTGGATTGTTGTAGATTTTAAACAACGCAAATTTAGCTTGTGTGTTCACCCTTGGGTGAGCGTGGCATAGCACCCCGTTTCCTTGTTTTATATATATCTTCTGTTTTAGTCTTCCGCTGTGTTTGGTATTATGGTTTAAGTTATCAGTATGTTTTAAGGCTTAAAATAGCATGGTTTTAGGGGGTGTTACAATCAACACATAAGATCATCTCATAAACATCAAGATTATATCATAATCATCATAAAAGCCTTATCAAGACACAAGCATAGAATTGCATATCAAAGGAGCCAATGAAGAAGATTATAGCAAGGAAAATAGGTTTTGTTGAGACATGGGTTACCTCTTAGCCTTAATTAGAATCCTTGGCTACTAAGGTTCTTTTCTCTAAGATCTCCTCTTCTTGATTTCTCCTACGTTTGGTGATAGGGGAATTCTTGTGTGGTGGAATATATTGTGGTGTGAATTCTAGGTGTCTCCTATGTCCTTATATATATCTCTAAGAATCCTAATTAGGGTCTGAATGGTAGAGACTTACTAATTCTATTCCTCAGAGGACTAAAGGTTGTTTTAGGGATAAGGGTCCATGATTTATGGTGGACCCTTCCTAATTAATTAAGGGAGTTTAGTTCTCTTTTAAGGGTGAGTAATTAAATAATTAGTTTGGGTTAGAGGCCGTAACACGGGGTGTTACAATTGCTCTTGGTGAAATATTCGTTAATAGTCATTTTTCCTTGAACACTCTTAAAAATTTCATTTTGGATTTCAGAAATCTTGTGAGGATCAGACTGTGAGTACCTCTTTTGTAGCACGCTCCATATATCTGATGCATTGCCAAGGCACATCACGCTTTCTGCAATGTTAGGGTTGATAGATTTCAGCATCCA